AACTCATCGGCTGACTCTGACACGGATGTTCTGCTGGCCCGATGCATGTTTTGAGTGGTTGGTGTCAGAACTCATCGGCTGACTCTGTGTCCCAGCCACAGGACTGCTGTTGATCGTCCTGTGGGAATTCAACCTCAATGTCATAAACAAAATTTGGATCATCCTTCTTCTTCTGATTTTTCTCAAAAAGTTCATCCATGATGCTCTTCCTTTTGGCAAGCTCCTTGTCATCTAGTTTGTTCAGGTCTTCCTCAGGATCAATGGTTGTTTCCCTTCTAATTTGTTCCATTGTTTCTGCCAAACTCTGCCCTGACAAGTAACCTCGTAAAAAACTGAATAGCTTCTCTAGCTGCCTCAGGGATACTTGTTCTAGGTAACTCTTGTGTCGAGGATTATTCTTTAATTGTTCAGCAGCTCTGGTGCAATCTGGGAGAGAGAAGAAAACTATATACCACATACATACCACATACATCATATACGCCACAAACTACTGCAACAGCCAAAATAGAACAAAAACTCTGAACCCTGAAAGCATTATCTCCATTATAGTCAAGTAGCTAAATGGCTTGATTGAAATGAATTATTTTGTAGAACTATTCTTTTTTTTTTTTTTTTTGAGACGGAGTCTTGCTCTGCCGTCCAGGCTGGAGTGCAGTGGCGCTCACTGCAAGCTCCGCCTCCCCGGTTCACGCCATTCTCCTGCCTCAGCCTCCCGAGTAGCTGGGACTACAGGCGCCCGCCACCTCGCCCGGCTAATTTTTGTATTTTTTAGTAGAGACGGGGTTTCACCGTGTCGGCCAGGATGGTCTCGATCTCCTGACCTCGTGATCCGCCCGTCTCGGCCTCCCAAAGTGCTGGGATTACAGGCGTGATCCGCCCGTCTCGGCCTCCCACAGTGCTGGGATTCCAGGCGTGAGCCACCGCCCGGCCGAACTGTTCTTTTATTTTGAGCTTTCAGTGTGGTGGGAGAAGGAGAGATACAGTTTTGACTTCTTTAACTTAAAAATCACTTTGTAGAGATATTAAACACTTTCAACTGGAGAATATGTCTGAGAAGAAAAGTGATATTATAGCTTTTAGATAGCAGTAGTGGTATTAATAAAATATTAAGACTACAAATAAAAAACATTTGGAAGGACAGAAGGGAATTAATATTATTGCATAATGCTATATCATTTAACCTAGGTAGCAATCCCAAAAAGATTATTAATTATCAAACTGGAAAAAAAAATGCCCTTTTATAGATTAGGAAACTGAAACTCATTGACAGTAAGTAATTGATCCAGTGTCACACATCCAGTCCCTGACAGAGTCATGATGTGAACCTGTATTTAGAGAATATTTAAGACAGGAGGCAAGATAAGACAAAAGTTACCTGAAAACTTTGAAAAGTTTCGAACTGGCATAATGCGCTGGCGAATTTTCCCCTTGATTTCACTCTCATAGATTAAGACAATAGCTGGAGGCTGAAACCTAATCCCACATTTCTTGGCAGTGCACATCATTCCCACGTACATGTCAGGGTAAGTCAGAGGAAATCTGATGAAAATGTGTAAGTTGCATAATGACTTCCTGCTACAGGGAAAAAACAACTAGGTGTTGGATAAATGTCATTCATTCCCCTCGCCCCTTTGCCCCAGAAGATCCGATTCTAGTCCAGCTCTGGCCACAGATGCTCAGCCTGTGAAGCTCAATATTTTTTTAAAATTAAAATGTGGAATCTTCATGAATTTGTGTGTCATCCTTGCGCAGGGGCCATGCTAATCTTCTCTGTATCATCCCAATTGTGGTGTATGTGTGCTGAAGCGACCACAAAGAGAGCTTCCTATTTTGAGAGCTGCCCTGAAGGTTCAGTTTGGTCCTGGGTTAGTTTCAATCTGTTGGATCCCTAAGGCTCTCTGGTTTTCTCAAGGATATAGACTTGTTCATATGTGAATCTGGGGATGCAATCCAGTGTGAACCTCTTAGTGTACTGCACTCTTACCGAAGATTGAATATGAACCCCTAAGTCAGTCCAATAGCTGACCTATAGGGTCTTTACTATTTATCAATTAAAAAAGGGCATATCAAGCATCCTCGGTATCAAGGTACTATGAGTTTTTTAACCTTAATCATTTTGTCTTGAGAGGTTCACCAGTCCAGAGCTGTCTCCTTTGTACTTTCCCAATTATTTTACTAGAGTTTTTCGTTGTTATTTATTTAATCATCTATCTTTCCTTCTAGTCAATATGGTATATGAGGGTGGGGGCATATTCATTTTTCACCACAATATCTCAGCATAATACCTGGGAAGTAGTAGGCATTCCATACATTGTTTAATGCTATGAATTAAAATGATGGTACCTGTACATTTTCGTAAGCATTTACAGTCTAGAAGCCTGATCAAAAAGCAGACCTGATGCAGAATCAGCTTCTTCATATACAAGTCAGTGATGTCTGCACGGCTTTTATTTTGGCCTACGTGTCTCACTATATGATATTCTTCTAGCTACAAGAAGCACAGCTATTAGTAGATGAATACTTACTATTCTCTCTTCCTTTCCCCACCCTCAATGCCCAAATAATACACTTAATCTCCTAAGCAGTGCTTTAGATGTGACTATGACATTCTCAGAAAGATTTGTAAATGTTAAGAAACATTGAGGTAAAGTGGCATAGGGTGATGATATCTTCGTGAACTCAGTTCTGCTGAAGAATCACTATTAGGAACATACTTTTAATAAAATACTTAGCAGTGATTATACACCTTCATTGTAGAATACTGGGGGCAAAGGAGAGGGGAAACATATAGAAAATAATCACCCTTAATTGTGTCCAGTCTTTTTTCTAGGCATATAGTTTAAGTATGTTTCACACATGGTCGTACAAGCTATTTCCTGAAGTTCAAATTTAACAACATATGTTATTATTTTGTCATTAAATGTTTTACTACAATGTAACATTTTATACGACTGCTAAGTGTTGTATTTTATGGATGTGCTAAAATCATATTATTCACACTTATTGTTGGACATGAGAATTTTTACTCTTAGAAAATTAATCACGTATAAGCCCAGGCACAGTGGCTCACCCCAGTCAGCACTTTGGGAGGCTGAGGTGGGCAGATCACTTGAGGTCAGGAGTTCGAGACCAGCCTGGCCAACATGGTGAAACCACGTCCCTACTAAAAATCCAAAAATTAGCTGGGCATAGTGGCAGGTGCCTGTAATCCCAGCTACTCGAGAGGCCGAGGCAGGAGACTCACTTGAACCTGGGAGGTGGAGGTCACAGTGAGCTGAGATGGTACCACTGCATTCCAGCCTGGGTGACAGAGCAAGATTCCATCTCAAAAAGATGGAGGCAGGCATGGTGGCTCAGGCCTGTAATCCCAACACTTTGGGAGGCCAAGGAGGGAAGATCCCTTGAGGCCAGGAGTTTGAGACCAGCCTGGGCAACACAGTGAGACCATGACCATGTCTCTACAAAAATTTAAAAATTGGCCAG